GCTTTCAAGGAAAAATGCACTCTCATATGCTGGGAAATCGTTAAAATATTCAGTAATTAAATAGTGATTAACGTAGACGAAACGTCATTATATAATTGCTTTTCTTGTTAGCCCATTCGATGGCTTTCAAGAGGATTGTGTGTGTGAATTGGCCAATCAATTGTATATTAATCATTCTGTCAGTTTATAGTCAATGTGGTACATCCACGCGAAAAAAAATGTGTTAAATAAATTCAGTTTTATCGGTTATTTCACGCGATTTCTTATTGGATTGTATACCACGTCAAAAGCAAGTTTAATTTTTAGTATTTTTATCGGTCGCCTGATTTCCGGTATTTCTATTCTTGATTGCGGTGGGGTATTTGCTCAACTGCGACAAAGTTTCAGGTTAACAACAGTGAGAAGTGATTTCCTCTATGGTTTAGTACACGAATGTAGAATCGTTACGCTTGTAAAAGTACCAAAATTACTGTTAAAGTTTAGTTAAACTTATTCTTCTTTATACAGTAAAACGCATTGCCAGAAAAGGCTGTGTTGCCATATGGGAAGAACAGACCTGTAATCTCCAAAGTGAGATTTGTATTACATTATTGCATATGGAATTATTTGTAATAGAAATACTGAAATAATGTTTAAAGTAAAAGTAATGAAAAACCACGAACTAACGACTATCCACGAATAGCAAATATATTTTGTAGGTCATGATTTTATCATGTAAGTATAGACAGCGAAATTAATACCCGTCTCATAAAATTATTAATGTACAATCAGATAACCAGTTCAGATAAGATAATACGAACTTTAAATCATTCCCCATAAACCGAAAATCTTGGCATTGCACCACATGGAACTGCTTAACGGATTCGCTTGATTACTGCGAGTCTTTCCGCCGACAAAAATTTGAAGAGCACTTCAAGGCTGGCAAGAAGCCGGTATTTTGTTTTAAAGTTGACTTGTTATACGCAGAACGAACGCCTTAGATTAGTGTAAGTACAGGTTTTGATCGAGAGCAAAATTGAAGGGTTTTTATTACCTACTTATTGGTTTGACAAGCTGCATAGTGTTTTAAAATTGTCAAAGTTTGAGTGTTCAGTCGACAAAAATAGCCTGTAATGAAATGTCTTAAATATAATATAATAATTTTCATCGTGTTAACTTTGAGTACATATAACAGTATTTTGAGTTAATTGCAACTAAAAGCAAACAAACAAAAACGCGACAATGCTGGAAAATAAAGTTAGCATTGCCGTATACTGCTTATTTTTTTAGTAATGAGATGTGGTCAATTAAACGAATAGATTAGGTTTTAAAATAAATGTGCTTGTGGTAATGAAGCTATTCTATAAATATTTATTTACATTAGCACAATTCGACAGATTTTCGTTGTAGAATTGTTTTGAAAATTCTAATTTGAAACAAAATGTTTTCGGAAACCAAATTGTATGAAAATTAATTGTGCGTTAAAAGGGGAAAATTATAAGCAACAACCGTGATGAGAGAAAACCGATGTCTCCAAGGGTCGTTTGATTTACTTGTCATGCTTGGTGTCTTGATGCTGCCAACTATGTGTCGTCAGAGTTTAGATGACCTGCTTGGACATTGCGCCCAATAAGGGCTTTAAAGAGTAATGTAGCGCTAAAAAATTTGTTAAAACTTCATCAACAGCTCGAAAAGCCTTAAACAAAATACTTTAAACTTGACACAAAACCGTAGGCGATAATTGCGATTGCGTTATGGTGACTAGTTCAAAATATTTGTTCCGTTGAAAAATTTCAAGCAAAAATATACAATTAATTTGGCAAGGTTATATTCTATACCGTCAAACTAAGGTTACACACGACACAATCTTTTCATTTCCAGATGAAACAACCCAGTAAACCCCGAAATGTATTAGAATATATTCGTGGGAAAGATTTGCGTCAACGACCGCACAAATTTGAAATCTTCGCCAGTCTTGAATTCTTTATCGGTGGGCACCTTTTGTTGTTGGACCCTGTATCTCTTCTCGTTCGCCCAATGAACCATACTTGACTGTGAATAACAAAGAAAATATTGTGGTGTTGGAATGCACATTCAACAAATATAAAATAATAAAAATAAAAAATAAAGGGGATTTGATGGAAAAGTGAAAACAATAGCTGTGTTTATTTTCTTACAGGGAGGTGTCGTATGGTTGTAGTAAAAGTCGCGAATATCATAAATGGTGTGGTAATATATAGATTATTGATGCAGGTGTTAAGAATTTATGAGTAACCAGAGGTATAAAATGATGGGTTTTATCAATAAACAAAAGTTTTATTTTATCTATAATGTTATTTCAACTTTAAACCATTCGACGTACAAAGGAATTTTATCTATATCATCAACAAATTTCAGTCAAAACGTACAACATAGAAGTTAAATTTGTACAACTGAACACACATATCCAACAAGGTTTCTGAGATTTCAATCTCTCGAGAACAAACATGTCGACCCAGATGTTTTAAGTTGTGTTTTTAGTCAAGGCATTCATGTAAGCCGCGCGGATATCTCACAAAATCTTCTGCTTAATGTACCGTACTTATACATGTTTACCTCGCCACATTGAATTGGGGTTACGGTAGCAAAATCATAAGTCGAGAATTCCAATCGATAGTTGTATTTTTCTTTTAAATACTCACTTTCAATCATCTATGGTTTGTGGAAAATTATATTGTTAGGTCGTATTTTCTCCCGCAGCAAGAGTGTTTGGGCAAGATATTGGAATAGACATTTTTTGAGACGACAAAGAACGGGACATCTCGCGTGAATCACTGTCTCCAAAAAAGAGGACCCACTCAAGAAATGATCCATCTGAAAATGTAGGCTTAACGGTTAAAATCTGTTTACAAAGTGTAGATTAGAGTCTTAAAAGGTTTCCTTGGCGATTCACAACTAGTAAAGAATAACTACGACGTGGGTGGAATGTCACATTATCGTCATGTCTATGGGAAATAAAAAGGAAAAAAAATTAGACCAGAGAAAAATGGCGGCCAATTGAAAAAGAAGATTGTTTGATAATAAAGGGGGAGCGTTGCAGGCTACAAATTGTGGCGTTTATAGAAGAGTGTAGAATTGCTTTGTTAGTCGTGCTATGTTGGTTTGACAATTGAAAGTTCAAACTAAGATGTTTTAAGGCAGTCTATGCGGTTCAGATAGCAAACTCTCTAATGTTGTACGCAAGGGAAAACTGTTAAGAGCAAACTGAGCGTAATGCATGACGGAAAAGGTGTTCCCGGTGGTTATAAAGTGACTATAGTTGAAATATTTGTTTTGATAAAGGTATGATTTTTACGTAATCTCATGTATGGAAAACTCTCTGTGAAATATCTTGCAGGTATGAATCATATATGCTACGTTCTAATTTCATATTTGCTACAAGACTTCCTCGTTATATGTTTATTTTATATTTTAAAAGTTGAGTGGCGTTACAACTTTTCTGGTTATGGGATTCCATGGGCCATTGGTGCCATGAATATGGGTAATGCTATGAACAAGCGAACATGAATGACACAATGTCGGTAATGCCTTGTTGAGCATAGGCCAACAATTTGAACCGTCCTGTATATTGCGTAGATAGAGCATCCTAAAATACTTGGAGTTTTAATGAAATCTCCTTGAAACTGAAATAAAATTTAGTTCTATTTGGAAATGTATGTTTTGAATGAATGGAAAATATTTTATCACAAAAGATAACTGATCATGGTTGATTGCTAAAATCATGATGATATTATTATTTGTTAAAATAACATCCCCTTTGAACCCGCTTGTCAGCTTCCCTTGATGTTGTGAAATAACATGGAATGGTGATATTCATGTTTGGTATTTAGCGTGTCAATTGAATAGCGTCAAATAAACTTTGGAATTTGGATTCAGAAATCGTCACATGATGTTACCATAAATGGTGTTATATTCAAGCGCGCATAAAATACTTTTGAAATATTGTTTCCAAAATTTAAAAATTTCGGTTTATCCAACTTATTTATATAAATTTTTGTCACCTTTTCAGTCGAATTTAGAGCGCTATTCGAGATAAAAAATTAATAGGATGAAAATCGATTTCCGTTCGAGTGAATAGATCAACAGTAAAACCTAATTATTTAATTATGAAGTCCTATTTGTGTATCTTTACCTGTACTGGGTGTGTATTTTGAATGTTCATTGTGAATCAATAATTAGGAATTTACAGTATGGTAGTTCAAATCTACCACAATTTTCATTAACTAATAGAATTCTGAAAGTACTTCAAGTATTTCCATGAACTAAGTTATCTCTTTAATAGGATTAATGATGATGTCGCAGTGTTAATAAGTTGGAATTAAAATGTTACTTCCTTTCCTAAGTGCTACCATTCACAATGGGTGTGTCCGATTACAAAAACTAATCCTATTCCAGTTAATAATACTTGTAAGTTTATTTCATCTAACATGAGAAGTTGTAAATGTGGACAAGTCGAACAGAAAGTGCGTTAGGTGCATTCGTAACCGAGTAGAGAGACGGAGTTTGTAAAAGGGTTCGAGCTCTCAGGTGGAACAATGGACAAATTTATTCAGAGTTTATTAGACATCATTTATGAATATATCGTAGAAAAATACTGCAAAAGAAACATTATTTTTGGAGGTATTCTGATTCGTTGAGTGAAGTAGTTTTGAAATATAAATATTCGTGTTCTCAATTTTAGGAGTCGATAAAAATCGACATTCTGACAGCGCGTTTTGTGCCAGATGTTTATATATAGTGTTCTAAATTGAGGGATGAAGTTGGCTGTTGATTTATATTAAACATTTAATTTATAATTATATTGCATTTAAGGTTTCTCATGCTTCGTAAGGATTAAACGAAAGCATTTTTGGTTGAACATTTTCAATACCGTATTTTTGGTGAGCGGTATTTATGGTGCACAGATTTTAACAAGTGCTAAAAAACGTTTGATTGAAAATACTATGGCTAAACGTTGAAAGTTATATATTTCATTTTTTAGACAAATTAGATTATTTTCAAAATACTATGTAACATATATGAATTATATGAATATCATTATCATCAAGTCATCAATAAAGATCAACGTTTAAACGACAAAAGGCTGACAAAGTCAATGGATACAAACGAAAGAAAACGACGTTCAAAAAGACCACGGAATACTTCAAACAAAAATTACGGACTACACTCAATGTCAGCAAAATATTTTCATTACAGTATGGGGAATGATCGTTCCAAATCTGCTCCAATTTCAGTAACTCAATTTCCAATAGAACATGATGGGCTATTCAAACAAGATGAAATAAGAATTCAACAAAATTCCACTAAGAAACAATCTTCGCTCACTGAGCTGCAAACTTCTATAAAACAAACTTGTAAATCAAGAGTTCGAAAATCACAAAAAACTTCAAAACTTTACAAACTTTTTCAATCAAAACAAAATTTTAGTGGGACATTGGTGATCGCATTATTTATTTTGTATATTTTAACTGAAAATGTGCATTCTACGCAAGAAAGTGAAGCACCGTTTCATCGACAACTTTCTAAGAGAGAAAAACGTGAATTGGAACAAAGGTTATTATCAGTAATGGGTCTTCCACACCCACCCCGACCCACAGGAGTCCAACAAGGGTCAGCTCCTCTTTACATGATGGGACTTTATAATACGGTATCAGGATTTGATGAAATATTTGAAAAGCAGATCAAAACATCTGATCAAAAAGTATCCAATCCAAATTTCCCACAAAAGCGAGATTCACCACTGTCAGCGAAACAAAACTTATTCAACCCAAATCGCCCGAACGGGCACTCTGCTGGTCCATTCAGCGACACCTATCCTTATGATGTCAGAGTCACCACTACCAATTCTGCTTGGTATCGATACAGTGAAGCCCAAATGGTTTTCCAAAACGAAGTTGGAATTCCAATACCTTCAATTCACAGTTTACCTACAGAACGATTGGATAGCGGTTATTATATGAACGATGGAATGCTGGAAGCTGGACTAGAGCGAAATCTTCTGGATAGGGCGGATGTTGTTATGAGTTTCCTCGCGGCAAATAAAGGTGAGTAAACACTAAATTATTCCGCATGTAACTTAGATAAAAATATTTAACTTTGAGATAAAACTGACTGTATTTAAAATTAATTTTAGAAGTATTCAAATTCCTTTTTTTGAGATTTGTTGTATACAAAATTGACTCGTTTTAATGTCATTTTGCCCCACGATACGTAAAGAGGATTTTGTAGTTGATAAAATTGCAAAGCATTTGTAACTGTTGTTTAAAGCTATTGTCGTGCGAGGTAAAAGACCACCATTTCGGTCATGGCTGTTGCAAAAGACTTATGCAAAACTACACCCCATTTTATGGCAAGGGGTTGCGCATGTATATGGTATCTACGTGGGTGGCGGTGAGCAAAACACTCGGATCGCTAAGAATGAATAATATTCGATGATCATAATTTTGTTGTAACTATGTAAGGGTTCATCGACATTTGAAAAATAAGTAAAATAAAATGTAGTAAAGATAGAGTATTCTGCGCATCCAGTTTTGTTTCCAAAATTTATTTAAAAAAATGTTCTTGCTACACATTTTTGTGTTGCAAGATTTTTGTTATTCTAAGATCTTTTTTTAAATGTTCTAGCATTTAGTTTCAAAAATACGATTCCCATTATACCTGATGTTTTCAGCGTTCAGCCAGACACTAATTTCACTGAGAAAATCTCCTAAATGTAAAAACAAATATTCAAGCAGATTAGTTGGTTTACTTGGGTTGATGATCGTCTTACGAAAGTAATATAATCCGCATTAAAATGTGTAATACATGTTCTTTTGACCTTCAAAATACAATTTTGCAAGGTTAGCGACGAGTTATCAAGCTAACGCAAACTAACAAAAACAATGGGAAATAATCGAAATTTAGGCTCAAACGCAAATATTCGATAACTCGGAGTCAGAGGTGCACGGCACAAGTCAGGTTTCAAGTAAACTACTTTCATCTGATTGACGCGTCATAATCGTAAACCAAGCTTGATCGAATTTCGCATGTGTGTATATTTAGCGATATATTTGTCATACAAACAATAGGATTGCAATGCCAAGGGCGTAAACAGAAACAAACTTTGTGAAAAATAGTGAAAAAAATATAAGAAATATATTATTACGTCATCATGATGTAACTCACGGAGATTCGGAAAAGCGAGGAAATCATTTTTAGACAAGACTTCCTTCCACTTGTGTTTTATCTCGATTTTATTATTTTATTACTTCCGGATAAAAGGTCATTTTATTGAAAATTTTCTGAATCGGAAATGACGCGATGATTTATAATTGAGCTCTGAAGGATCACATCACATGATAAGAATGACGATATCGTAAACGGATTTTACATTTAAGTAGGGGAAATGAGATTACAAAAGTACCACAGTGATATTCTCTTGTAGTTTATTAAAACAAATTTATTCCCACAGTGTAACAAAGAGCATAGTACGTTTGATGTAGATTAAATACGGGAAATGCGTTATTGCGGTTCTCCTTTGTGTGATTCTTGGAAAGTGGACAATCTGAGAGTAGTCTTAGTTACCAAAATAGAGCGTCTGATCGTAACATCAGTTCCAATTTTTTTGTGTTCATTCATATTATACTTTACACTTTACTCTCCATGGATTTTGCTTGATCGCAGATAGATTTTGATTGGAAACGGGGCCTGGAATTCAAATTCTCTCTTGTTTAACCGAAGCTTAAAATTTAACATAAGTTGGGAAACCAGCATATTTTGGATTGAGTTCATATAGATAAGATGTATTCAATTAGTTGTCGGAAAGTATACTGGCATTTGTGCCGGCATAATTCCGAGCCTACAATGTTTACATGTGACAAAGAGGTACTTAAATTGTTTTTGTTTGTTTTTTCTACGAGTTATATCTTCATTGAAGAAGATTCGTTGCATACTGTCACTTAAGAGCTGTTAGTACTAAACTTCAAGCAGAATATAAATGTCGTTTTGGTAGTTGTCATGGTGATCAAAGCGGTGTTGATCAGAGTGGATCTTCAATCCCCGATACTAATAAAATTATGTTAAAGAATCAATTCATATCATTCATGCTCATTTACATTGGATGTATTCCTAGCTCAAATATGAACAGTATTTTATCTTATTTTTCTGTATTAAAAAAGTTAGCATTGGAAATGGAAAAAATAGCATTGGAATTTCACAATCGGTGCGCAATTACGGTTCATTTAGTTATCAGCAACAACCACTTAATCCGAAAATCTCAGGAAATTTCATTCTTTGTTAGATAATTATATTTTACGCTTTCAAGATGATTCGTACACGCTTGTTAAGCGTGGTTGGTTGACTGACACCAGTTGAACGACATTTTATCTTTTAATTAGAGTTTCATTCCATCTAATTACTACGCCAATTATCCGTATCTTACGGCTTTATTCAAGTGGCAAGAACAATTTATTTCAAGTCCATTATTGTATTTACTTCAAACGGTTCAAATAGATTTGAAGTCAACAACTACAATTTAAATTGAAAAAGAATCGCATTATATGATAAATTTTAACATGTTACTAAGATCATTGGGGAACAAACAAAAACTATTCTTGATGCGCTTTAGGGCAATGCCCGCTTTATTCGGTTTAAATGAGTATATTAAAAATGTTCCATTTACAACGATTGTTATCATAAATACCTTGCTAATTTAGCTAATTTATATTTTCCTTACGTATCATATTAAATAGTTTATTAAGGAACAGACCTCTTGCGATTGTAAGAGCTTTATTTGGTTAAAATAGGAATATTAACATTTACTAGACGTTGTCCCGAAAAGCTTATTTTTGGGGCAATCCGATCAAGTTTTTTATAAAGTAATTGACACTTTGATGGACTTCATTGTATAAAATGTAAGTCACTTCTTGTACATCACTTGGCCAGTGACAATTTTACAAATGGACGTAGTAACAACTTAGCAACAAACACATTTTTCGTTTTATGAATATGCCATTTTGTTTCTGATGCATTCTTTGAGTCGGAAACAAGTTTTTCCAACAGATAAATTAAATAGTTATTCGATATTGCGATGCATATCTATGTAAATTGATATCAAAGTGTACAATTTTATATCTCCAAAAATATTTTGTTGACAAAAGACCCGACGGACAACGTTTGGATCAGCGTGAACAAAGGTGTAATGTATGAACTTATTATCATAAGATTTAGTAACAGATGTGAATGTACTGCATGCACTGCGTACATCAAAACTGGAAAAATAGCACTTTCAATATTTTATCATAATTTTAATTCATAATCATACAGCATCGTCTTTACTTAGATAAAAAGAAATTGCTGGCTTGTTTTGGGCGGAAGAGTTAGTATATTTTAGTCTTATCGACAGTTATAATTTACTGAGAATAATGGTTTTCGGGTTTCTATTTCGAAACAAACAATGTGAACTTCAAGATAAAGACAATGAGGTTATGCCTTCGCATGCAATCTAGGCATTCTCAACATTTTGGGTTAGACTTTTGGCCTTGATACAATGCTTTGGCAAGTCGGGGCATGACCTCTTGCGTTTTCTAAATGGTGCTTTGCGCGTGCATAAGCATAACCGTTACCATGGTGTATTGAATTCCAAACGGCTTTGCAGTTCAGCATAAAAACATGCGGTTTTGTTATACGATACGTTACAAAATAAAGCATTCAAAACCATTGCATACTTTGGGATAAATAGATAATGACATAATACCAAACAGAAAGGATCACCTTAGCTTAATTACACGATCATCCAGGTGAAAATTTTGAGTCGGTTAAAAACTATTAAATATATATTGTTTATGAATATACTTCTGTGAAGTGGGTTAGAAAGAATTTTCAGAAGCCCGCATTTGACCAAAGTGTTGAAAGATGAGATAGCTGCCAAACTTATGATACCCTACATTCCAGATATCTAGTTGTACTGAATAACATGTGATTTTAAAACATACTAAATGCCATGAATTACTGACGTTGCTTTATTTACGGAGGAAAAATAGTTGGCCCATGTCCTTAATGATGAAATTATATTTAGACTCATTAAAAAAAAAATAAAGATACATTTTATACAATTTATTTTCATATCATCCAAAGGTATTCTTTTTATCTTTATTGTAATTCAACAATCATTTCTCCTCACACTGCAACAAGAAAATAGCCAGGTACTAAAGTAACTAAACGAACGACGGAACCTATCTGTCAGTAGCCACTTCGCCTACTAACCGTAGTAAACCGACCGTAAAGAGGCACTAATGTTATCAAAATCCCCACACAGTTTACTCGTCTTCTTAATGTCGTGTATCAGTTATTGATGACCAAATAAGAATTTTGCCAAGATTGTGGTCCATCATCACGCCGATTCGAAATTGATTTTTTGTTTTTACCAAGCGCAAAATTGGCAAGCAAGAGTTCTTAAGTGAAACAGCATTAAAACATCAGAAATTCTTCCTAAGGCTGCGACGTGCGCTACTAAGTAAAACTGGATATTAGCTTCCAATGGTGGATAGTAACGAAATGAGTTGTCTGTACAACAATCAGAAAATCTTTCAGAATGCACAAGTATAGTACGGTGCATTAAATAGTAGCCAAATTAATCTTCATTTACATTCATTCAAGATTAACGGTTTTCAGTCACTTTTATTGCTATGAAAGCAAATAACATAGCGATGAATTCTTTGTGAAAAGAGTAACACAAACGGGATTAGATATTTTTATGTTATCTCTGGATTAGACAAATCCGACAGGCGTAAAGCCACCCAAGTTGGCTAGAATCACGAACCACCTCTAGGCTTACCTACATATTTTGTAATTCATTTTCGCTTTTTGTGCACTCTTTCGAAGCCAACTTTAGGGCACGCATTTCTTGGGCGATAAATTATCAAAGTTTAAACTCAAAGTAAATATTGACTGATATAGGGTAACATATCGAATAAAATATATCTGTATGCTTTCAGTTTTTGTTATGGGTATAAAACAAAACTATTTTGTCGGGAAGAATAACTGACAGTAAAAAGTCAACTGTTTACAGTGATTCATTTCTCATCATTTAGGATAGTGCCATAAATTGTTTGTTTGCATATAGTCTGAAAGAACGTATATACGAGCAAGGGATTTCACCCGCGCAGGAATAACTGAGAAAAATTAACATTTTAGTCGGATTTTTGAAACCTGTTTTGCTTACAAAGTATTAGGTTTGTCTATTTTGATATTAAAAATCGATGTTAATGAATCAAATTGAACTCTGAATTCAAAATAAGAAAATATGATATTTAGGTTTTTAAACAAAATACAAACAGCCATCACATTCCGCGTTTCAAGTAGTTGACAACTTTTCCAAACTGTCCAAAACAGAAGGACACTCAAATCAAAGTATGCTTACTAATATGTCGAAATTAATGATTAATGTGTCGGATATTGAGGCTAATGATCGGATTTCATGATATTGTTATGTTTGTATTACGAATTGTAATGAAAATAAAATTACAAACAAAATAACCTGCATTTTGAAGTAACCTGTGAACGCGTAATGACTGCACTGCCATATATTTCTTCTACACATGTCATATATAAGTTTGTTCAGTCATGCTTTCGATGATGTTCCGGTTATAATTTACGCGTCAAAAACAGTGGATATAATGAATATGTTCTGCTGTATATCATTACGCCACTTATGGTGTCGTGAAAGTAAACATACTTCTAATGGAACGTGCTTTATGTCTATTTTTCTAAATTGAAGTGCCAAACACATTAAGCTACAGGGAAGGGCCACACACAAATTAAAACATGTTGCATCCTGGTATGCATTGACTAATTAATTGAAATATTTGTGCGTGGCGAATTTAAATTGTCACCTGATTATACAGATAAATTTTATTTGCAGTTTACGGAGGCGTGTCCTTCGCTTTTACAAAATAAGGATGGATGTGTCGACTCGGTTATTCCAAATAATTGAGGTAGTAAATGTATTTCAACTTGATTATCGTAATTGAGAAAGTGTGGGTTGCCACATTTTGAATAATCCTTCGTGTAAATTTTGCCTTTCAAAGAAAAATGTCTGAAAAAAGGGGTTTGTCATTTATTATAATCCGAAACCATATTCATTTGACAACCCAGTCTGAGCTTTTAAAAGCTGTCGTCTGTATTTAGATTGCAATACCTCAAAGATGACCGATGTTATCTCAGGTATATTGTGGGATATTCGCTAAAATCAACAAAAGATTTTCTGCGAATGTCACCTGGTGGGAGTGGTTGTCAGTATTCAAGAGTTTAAGTCGCGCGTAAACACACATTTAAAGCAAATTAGGTAAATTTGCGTTCCTGGAATCAGTAATTCTGACGACTATTGAAGTCATAATATCGTCGATTAGATAGACCTCGTTAAACATATACACTTACTTTTGCATAAGAAGATAGTTTCTTGCCTTCGCTTGTTATAGCCATGCCAATTTAAACTAATATATATTACTCAGTCCGCATTCAGAAGTTTCATTTTTTTTTTGCGTAAGAAAAGATAATCATCGAATTTTAAACATGAAAAAGAAAGCATATCTGAATTACGCAAAGATAAAATTACTCGGACCTCCTGAAGTATGCGCACTAAAATGGCGCTCAACCTGAACTCAGGTTTTGTACCAGGTTAGGATTCAGGTTATGCGACATCTTGGTGCGCATACTTCAGGAGTACCAATTACTCTTTATATTTCAATTCTAATCATTGTCATTTTATAACAGTAGTCGGCAAACTGTAGCCATTTGCCCCGAGAGTATATTTGTGTAGCCGTCGACGGCCTCACTATTATTGCACAAAATCAAAAATTTTCCATAAATTTATGATAATCTGCGCACCGATTTATGTCGGAATAATGATTGTTGCACGACATTTGTTTTGTAGTTGAAGCACACGCAAGCTGATGGTATGTCCTTTACTTGCCAAACGTGCCCACCGCTCGCTCGTTTTAGTTATCAGTTCATTTGGTAAATATTTTATTGTTGAGCATTATTCAAAATCTGTTGGCTGGATCGTTCAAACTTGTCGTAGGTGCGCCGTAATCTGAAGTTTAATGTGGCAATTGTTTATAGGCGCTTATTAATGAGGCCCGCACTCTATCGGAAATATGCATATTTGGCCGTAAGACATAAAGTTTGCTGACCACTGTTCTAAAATGTATTGTATTTGATAAAACGCTTGAATCAAGTTTGCTATCAAGGTCTTCAAATTCAATTGGCAGATACCTCATTAGAGTTCGTTTCAATCTAATTCTCCTCAGTCTTGCGTGTAGAATGATTGATAACAAAAGTGTTAACTGTTACTTTTATCGGTTTCTTGGAACAAAATGCTCGGGTATCGTATGGCAGTCTTCACCTTGATAGATGGCAGCTAACAAAACAATCAAAATCAATATCCGTGGCAAAGTTTTCTATGCATCTGAAAACCTGTTGATAACTGGCTACGTTTACACTGAAGCAACATTCAACAGAATTATTAAATTAGAATACAAATATGGACGTATTTGTTGTTACACATTCATGGTATACCCGTAATTAGACGGTAGTTTTTGTAAACTCACAATCATAGACTATACTTCATATACTATGAAGTGAACTTCGCTGCGTATTTTTAAAAACATTTTATCATATATTATATACGCTATTCTGCCGGATGGGACACGACTTTTTATGGGTCACCGCATGTTAGTGATCCCCGTTTTGTGTCCTGGGAACCAGGAATCTTGTCCAAACAATTATATTGTTTCCGGCGTTTGCTGGTTCGGATGATCTGTAAGTGGTCTATGACAGACGCATCCTTCACCTAGGGCTGTAAAATGAGCAGTTTAATTAGAATCACGAATAATTCAGGAATTTGGGTATAGCGGAAACTTATGATTGAAAAGTACAGTCTCTGATACTTTGTTACTTACGACGTAGAAAGTCAACATATTGTCATTGTCTTTTGAAAAATATTTTGTCAATTATAATGATGAGTAAAATGAAGTAAAATTGCTGTATTTTTCACATGTAATGTACTAAAAATATACCGCGATATAAAAACGACTCGTCCTGTTCCTACAGGTCTAAATTCACACTTTATTCCCCAAACCTTAGACGACTCCCCAGGCGTGCAAAAGAAGTCGACCCGCCCAGATCGGTGCACAAAACACTTTGTCAAACTTGCCCTTTTTCGTGACTTTCGGCGATGAACGCGCATCTAATTACACAATAATGATCGTTTCAGATCACGTTGAAGCGAGAAAAACGAGCATCAAATTTGAACCCTTGTTTTGTAATCTGAGTTGTCCATGGGCGATATAGGTAATTCCCATAAAAGTAGGTTAATGAGAAATAAACCAAAAAGTTACCTTCAACAAAACTTTCATATAATAAATAATAAAAACGTTGATTTTGACATCATTATTTACAGGAAACAACGACGATGATGATTCTTCGCGTCCGATGTTAAAACGACACAGAGCGTTTCATTTCGATGTAGATCAGATTCCGAAAGAAGATTCTCTGACAGCAGCTAAATTTCGACTTTACAAAGACATCTCCGACTTTTCGTTGGGAAATGCGACTCTGCGAGTAAACGTTTACCAGGCTACCACCGATCGGAATAGACAGTAGGTTCAAGTTGGAATATTTAGTAGTACAATACAATGTTGCCGCTCGATTATAAAATACTGTTGCCACTTTTATGGTGCATTATATATCATACCTAATATTTTTTTTTTTAAATTTTCCCCTTTTCAAGGTTTCAATTGTGGCATCTGGGTAGTCGAATTGTCAATTGCACTCAGGAAGGTTGGCTTGTGATTGACGTAACTTCTGCTTGTCAGGACTGGTTGAATTATCCTTACAATAATATGGGACTAAGAGTATCAGTGGAAACGCTTGGAGGTAAATATTAAGAATTTATTATGCCTTCCTAAAATGAACTGTAGATAACATGAAGCCAAAAAGCATGTCGTGTATAAAAAAGTATTAGTTTGGCCTATTTTTAAACAGATATTCCATCCTGTTACTATTACTAAAGCGACTTATGAGTCATTTTATGATATCCAAATGAGAAAGGTGTAATTACAAATTTTCATCAAAATTTTAGATAGAGTAAAGTCGTCAAAGGCACAAAATTATAGACAATTTCTGATTAGACCACTCGAGACCTTCTTTCATGTTGATAATATTCATTTTACATAACTTCAATCATTCATTGGGTAATTTCAACAAAGAAAAATAGCAACAGCAACATACACTATAATTATGAATTATATTAGAAATTGACTGATGGAAAAAAAGGATTTATCTCTGGAAATCATCCCATTCAATATAAACCTATATTGTAGATTTGTCTCGGTATTAAATACAATATTCATTTTATTAAATAATTTGAGGTGTTTGTAAATTTTTTGAAACCAAAAATTGTTAAGCGCGTGGTAGTCATCTACCAGACAGAAGTCAAAAAAAATTTTTTTAAGACTAGAACCGCAACAATATCTCGTATTTTAAAATTAATAATCATGGAAACGAATTTTCACTACAAAAATTTATGCAATTAAAATATGTTCGAAATGCTTGGTATTTTAATCTCTTTCTCTCTAATTTACCGATTTCAGACTTTTTGAATATGTGGTCGTGTTTTGGTGTCAAGGTAGTCGTCGCTAAGCTCGTGCGCTGAGCTTTATATTATATTAACAATGCGATTGTGGATATACCGTTTTCACGTTACAAATTAAATATTACTAAATTATAGTAAACAAATTTTGTTGTATTTTTCGAGTCAATACGACAAAAAAAAATATATTAACACAAAAATGAACTTGTTTCATAGACATGACCTCTGCATAGTACATTAACAAGAGACATCAAATCCAACAAATTCCACATTTTCTCACCGAGATCGTATTTAACATTAAAATCATAATCACGTCCGTTTTATGGACAAATTTTCCGGTTGAATCGGAACATACAAACGTTGGATTTATTCTTGTTTTGATATCTGATGTTGATGTCTGCAACCCCAGACACGGCATCAAATTTAGGTCGTTTGAATTATTTGATTAGCCGACATGTGGCATTCGTATCGGTATTAAATTGCGTATAGATTGATTTCATGAACGCCATTTTGGTTTTTATGTAATATTTGATACTAAATATTTGAAGTGAAGATATTTAAGTTATTACGAGCTCGGTTGTAACTAATGTTTTTTGATGAAAATAAATTTCCCAAATATGGTTCTCGCTTCATCGGGATTGTTCTATTTACAGCAGGAATACAGACAATAACAAAATGCCCAATTCGTAGGATGCAAGACTTGAAATAAAGTTTTTGTTGCATATTTTCTATTTAGTAAATTTTATAATACATTTCTACAAACAATTTTATTGAATTCTTACATACGTAGAATATACTTTTATAGGAATGTAAACCAAGATCACTATTTGAGGTAATAAAAATGAACATTTTATAATTATCTTCAAATATTGTCAACACAATGCGATTTGAAACCTAAATCTAAATTACTAATATTTGACAACACACGAAAGTATTTCTGCAGCATAGATCACCTCAATCCATTTCCGTTGGTCAATGGCATAATATGAGCTTACACTTTTGGATTTTTTGCGTTAAATTCAGAATATTTGTGCCATTCTTACATGTATTTTTTGCATTGGGAAAACGAATTCTTTCCCATTATAGTCATTTAATTTAAAGCAGTTTCCTCCTTAGCTAGCCATTGCTCAAATTATCTTTAATTTTTTTTTGAGAATTAATAAAAAAAAATGATTATTTTTTCACAGGTCGACTTATCAATCTAAACAAAGCCGGTATAGTGGGAAAGAGAGGAGAATCTGCAAAACAAGCATTTCTCGTTACCTTCCTGACACAAGGTGTTGAAAATTTACCGGAAGATTTATGGAAAGAAAAAAAGGAAAATAAGAAAGGAAATAGATATAAAAGAAACACAGCATATGATCGCAACCCGGATTACGGCTCTAATGATGAATGTAAGTATAGTTTCATATTAATCTAATATAGCATCTCGTAAAACAGTGTTTCGCAAGATATTCAAGCACTAACCAATCCCCTTGAAAACAAAAAAAACAGTGTACAAAGACAGAAAAAATCTACATATTTTGATACAGTATCTTGCCAATCCACACGAAGCATTATTAGTCGTTTATTAAAACTTGTAACAATTCAGATTTCGACATGTCAAAAGATGATTTTGATGGAAATGATATAACTCCTCAAACTGAAAACAGGAAAACAAAGAAAGCAACGAAAAAAAGCAAAGGTGGTTCTAAGAAAGGTTTGTTGTTTTTGCTTTTTTTGTTAAGAGAAAATTTTTCCGTAATCTAGTCCAGCCAAAAATTTTCAAAAAAAAACTAAAAAAAGTAAATATTATTTATTTTTAAGTTTATTCTCGTTTTTTGCAAATTGATAGAACAATAATCATGTATTTTTTTATTTTCGCGCAAAGAGTTTTTTTTATGAAAATACTCTGTTTTTTCTTAACATTTGAATTTGCAAAAAATTATTGATTCACTTTCGGTACAAATTAAAGCTAATTATCCCCAAAACCAACCCATCCATCATCAAAATATCGTTTGAAAGAAACGAGATCAGTGTTTGTTCATTCTCATGGATAAGTTACAAAACACAGTTTAGTTATTCCCAAAAAAGGGTGAATGTCTTCAACTTTATGAAGTAACATACTTCTGTCGCCAGATGATCATAAGGCATAATGCAGGGAGTGCTGTGTTTGAGAAACCGTTGAGAAAGCAAACATTTCAGTGGCACCGTTTATGATATACTTAGATAATTTGAATTGTGAAAATCTTTTCCCAATTTAACCAGCTTTTTATAAAATCCATTAAATTGTGTTGTCTGACGATTTATAACCATCCTAACGATTCTTACTCACATCCTAATATAAAAAGCAATGTTTTAGCATAATATATTCTTAATTCAAGTTATTTTCACATAGACTAATAATAATATCAAAATGGTATTCGTGATACAATTAAATAAAATGAAAATTATAAATTTATGATTTATACTTGCCGTGTAAATTCAGCCAATTTTTCTAATAGCCGATTGAAAAATTATCCGCAAGCCACTCGAATTTAACCGTCTAATGTCGGACCTCTCGTGAATAGGTCAAGGAGATTTTAAACACCCAATATCCATTCGTCTGTGAAATTTGAGTTTCCTTAGCACCGCATAACGGACTATGATGCAACAGTGCATAAATCCTCATATGTCTTATATTTTGTTTGCAACAACTTTGATCACAAAAATACTCAACATGCCTTGGCTTTTAAACTTGACAATGCTATTGCATATTTTGAGACAATCCATGAAAACTGTTCTGCGTCGATAAGATTGTGTCCCTTCAATGTTTGATATATCAAATTGGTCTCCTCAGCCTAAGCCAAATATTTTTGTAGAAAAGACGTCTTCTACAAGTTTTTGTTTTGAAAAATTAAACAACTTTGGTATAAAACATATGCGAATTTCAATACTTTATCACTGTGAAAGCATGATACCGGAAGCTAGACCTGAGCGTTGATCTGTCTCGAGTTAAGCCATTGCCCGATATTTCGTGAATTTCATTCGTCTAAATCTCAGGATTGTCATTCGAATTACAACTTTCATTTATTATTTTCAGGATATTCTAGAAAAAGGCAACGAAACCGAGTACGTAATAATATTCGTTTTGAAATGAATGATGCTTGTCACAGGGAAAAACTCTACGTTAGTTTTCAAGATTTAAATTGGGATGTAAGTAGCTAAAAACATAGAATTTACTAACATAGAATTCCCACGATCTGGGCTGATTGTCAATTGCAAGTTAACTGTACTACTTTTTAAACAGTGTCGTGTTTTGACAGAACAATACTATTTTAAGCACACTTGTAATTTTCAAATATTTTTACCACACTCGCAGGTGTGCTTTGGAGCAATTAAATCTTTTTGTTACCGAATTAAAACTTTCAATATCGTTATAAAGGAACGTACGCCAGCTTCCAAGTACAAAATAAGTGATGTAAATAAGAAAAGAGAAAAGGTTTACTAAACTGGACTTTGTTTATGAGTCAAATTAAATTTTCTCGCAATATTATATCGAGTTACATAAAATTTTTATAATCGACATGTTTTATTGTCTTAGGGATGGATCATTGCACCGGCTGGATATTGGGCATACCACTGTCAGGGAGTCTGTCGTTTTCCTCTCAGCGCAAAAATGAATGCTACAAACCATGCAATAGTCCAAACACTTGTTCATTTGCTCGACCCTGACAGACTCCCGAAGCCATGTTGTTCCCCTACTAAACTCGACGCAATATCAGTTCTCTATTATGATGATAATAACAACGTCGTCTTCAAAAAATATAAAAATATGGTAGTCCTAACTTGTGGCTGCAACTAAAATTATAATAGCATCAGAAGTCCACTGTAAACGTTACGGGAGACGATCATGTCACGAAGAGTTGGCTGACAGGAAAAGTGATCTTGGTGCCTGGGGGGCGTCAATATGGGAAGAGATGGGACAACAAATCGTAAATTACAATACACACGAAGAGAGTAGAAATGATAGGAAGTTAGAATTAGAAATTTCAGATTGCTATACGAAACAAAACGTTGAAAACAATCACAGTTACTATAAATTATTAAGGTCGTATTATGTATATATCATTTGCTACATCACTTATAAACGAGTGTTACATCTCATTCCCAAGGAAGGGACTGCTTTTATATTTAGAAAGATGTTAACAATGATACAATGTATTAAAGTTGTACATACTAGCTTTTCAATTTTACATAATATTTGTCATTATTATTGATTTGGCTTTTATGCTTTATGTTTATCTAATTTATCCTTTAATTTTGTTCTAATAAACTTTGTTGTTATATTTTGGTTTATTGTTGTGGCTTTACTGAGTTTTAGATCGCATTTATAAGTCAAAATCAAATCTTCAGAAATCTGTAAATCAGAGTTTTTGATGTGTTCATAACAAGTAATATCAGTTAAGTACAGAAGCCATGCGAACTCATGGAAACTTACGCACATCATTGATATTTCAAAATACAGGCAATCTAAATCATATCTTGTCTTGGTAGGTACCACTCATAGACTCCTAGCAATTAGTTAAGAATATATGTCAATATAGTTATATTATTCGCCGGTGCGTTTCGATATACATACAACTGTATCTCAGTCGATTCAAATGTAAAAATATTCAATTGTAGTTTAGACGAAACCCCGGTTTACACTTTAAAGATACGCCAGTTCAAAATAATTCTTCAAAATTCTGGATCTCTAGCGACATCTTCCAGTGAGATAAAATATACAAAGTGGTATGGTTCCGATTTCTGTTCTATAAGCGTATCTGACCACACGATTGTTAGGCATTGGGTACATGTAATTGTATATTTATGTTTGATTACTCTACCTACAGCTAATTACATCAGAAAATAATTTTTGCGTGATTGTTATTCGAATTTATTCCTAATCAGTGAACTAATTATTAACAAAAACAACGATTGCGACACCACAAAATAGTTGACTACATGTTATCGAGTCGGGAGGTTTGGTAATACCTGTGGTGAAGTTGTGGTACTAGCGCTATGGGAAAACCAACAGCGCAAAATAACAACAATTCTAATAATACCAAACGGCATAATACCGGAAAGCAAATTCTTGGAATATTGCGAAAAAGAGTGATGAAGAAGAAAAAGTCTACAAGCAGTTTGCTTTCTAAAACATTCGATAAATTTCGCAAAAGCGAACTTCGAGAAAAACTTCCAGAATACTACATAGGACCCTCTACTTCAGTGTGCAGGTAATTTTATATTAAAACTATGAAAAAATACTAAATTTACCGTACAGTTTGCAGTATTAATCACCTACAAATATGATAAACATTGTCATTGTCTTTTGTGTCAATCGAGATCGACTATGTTACACGTTGATTATTGCCTCAATAGCCAAATGAAAAATATGAGTTAAAGTAGCAAAAATTATAAATAATATAGAAATGGATTTAAATTTCCATCTAACTGACTTAAAAGGGATTTTGATTTGGGTTGGTGACGAATAATAATTGACTTTCATATTGCTAAGGCTTACCGTGTGTATGGCATATATATATCTACACATCATGTGAGACGAAAGTTTCAATATATATATTGTTCATTACCGCTTGTACTTACCCATTGGCGTTTTGGACAGAAATCTTTGCATATTGATTAAATAAACTTTCGACGACATTCATGTGGCATTATATATAACAAATTTCAACGCGAGACCTATTGAACGACAGATAAATTATTATAGCATAGTTACATCACAAACTGTAGGGTGTTTATGATTTATTTAATCCTGCGAGTGCCCAAGATCTTGAACTGTTTTTCATCAATACTGTGGGATTTCCGAATGTTATGATTATTTGTGTCTGATAATTCCAAAATTTGAAAGTTAAAATTGATTGACGTAGTCTCAAATGCAAGAAAAATATATAGATTTCTATATCCCGAGGAAGCTAAACAACATATATATTGTACCTATAGGGTAGAAACAATATACATAATAATACCCGTTCGTTATTTATTCCAGTTCGACTACGAAGACATGGACCAGCTATCTTGATGATGACAAGGTGATCACTAATTTACTATATATGTAAATGTTAATGTATGTCAACAGTCTCGAGTTCAATTCAAACTAGGGAATATAAATTTGGATTTATTTACAAACAAACTTTTTGTTGTGCTGATTTTGAACACCAACTGAAATCGGCCTAGTCGAATTATTAGCCTAAACTAGAACTTCGAAGTACTCAAAACAGTTTCTGATGACGGCTTGTAATTTTTGCGTCGTATGTATATTAAAATCATTTGTTTATTTATTTATTACTTTAGTCATTGGTGTTATAGCATTTATATCTCAACTATAATAGTTCTGTAAAGTATACAAAGCATAACCATATAATACAAATAGCCATCTACAGATTTTAATCAGATATTTTATGTAGATTGGAATATTGGTTAAAAATAAATTTTCATAATGCATTCATGACTTCAAACTGTAGAAGTGATTTTAAAATGAAATTTAATGAATTTAACTGAATCACGGAAAAAATGTCATTTCCCAATTTCATGAAACCGAAACATGATTACCAATCTTTATTATTTTCTATCACATCACTGCAAAGATTATGAGAATACTATGCAAGGTTTCCTTCTTATCTTTTAGCCTTTCTCTCTATAAAGTTTTAGAGATTGTATTTGGGCTTTCAAGTGTTAACAGTCTTCAAAAAATTTAGTTTATTTACCACATTGAATACACGCATAGAGCAGTACATGAACGTCACAGTGGCACGATTGTATTTTAATTTTCCGGTTTCGTTCGCGACTGTCGTAATAACCAGGCCATAGAAGATAAAACACGATATTGAAAACACCAAGGGTGCATATCTACAATGTGAATGTGAATCAATTTTTCTATTTTCAGGAGGAATCCTACGACGAAGAAGACAACAATCAAAACATCGGAATGAAATTGGAAAATAAAAAGCAAATTGAATTGGCAAAAGAAATAGAGATGAAAGAAAAACTACTTGAAATTGAACGAGAAAGATTGGCAATTGCTAAAAAGCTAATCAGAGCTGAAAAACACATCCATGGGATAAACAAGCATACTTCTCTCTAATTATTTTTTTGCTTTTCACAATCAATCACGTTAATTAAAAATATTTTCCATGACGTTGGCAATAAATTCTAAATACCGTTAATTTGTGTTGTTTGACCTCATTGAACGCACGAGGTAATCTGAAGTGAAGCGAATTACAAATTTCTCAGATTATCAATCAGCAAGGGCGATTTAAAGAAAAATTTGTTCTTGAAGATTCCAAAAAAAACGACTTTGAACGGTTGTAATTTGGGAAAGAATAATTGTCGTTCACGTTGACAAGGTTTGTCTGTCTAATAACAACCCAGTTATCTGGTGAGCATTCAAGGATTCTTCAATACAGGCAAATCCAGGGTCATCTCTGTTATTGAGAGAGCGGTGCCAGGCAATAATTAATGCTTATATTAGATGTGATGGTTCATCTACGCCAGGAGTCGGCAACCTACGGCCGAGGGCCGGATCTGGCCCGCGACGCTTCACTGAATTACAGTAACAAAACAGCTGTTTTAACAATTATATTCTTTACGTATCAGAATTTATTGTGAGACACGTGTAGACTAAAACATATTATAATCTAACAAGTATAAAATTCACAATTACTCGTTTAATGAGCCTATAATAAAATTATAATTATAGACAAATGGCAACGAAACGCAGAAAAGTTGATGCTAAGTGCAAATGGTTCAAAGACGCCGAAAATATTCAAATGAAAATATTTTACCGTGGTTAGGTCATGAACCTTTTTTGTTTTTATTCCGAACGAAGGCAACATGCGTTGTCTTTCATCATTGGTTTCTAGAAGGTGAAACCAGGAAATATATCAGTAAATCACCTTCATGTTTATGCGTAATCTACATGCAATGTACGCGTTAATAAATCCGTGGTTTGACTCGATGGCATTGAAGGTAATTACCATCGCCATAATTTCAGAACAAATCAGATTATTCCTTTCAGCCCGAGTTTTATAGAAGTAACAGAAATATTCCGATCACGCGGAAAATTGAATTTATATTTAAAATAATGTCGTCTATTGCATGTTACAGAAACAACGTGAAACTTTGCGTAAAGTTTTTCTTAAAACTAGTAAACATAAAATGAAAAAAACCTTAACATAACCATACACAATATAGAAACGTAATAAATATATTACTAGCGTTTAGAAAATAGCCAATTATGAGCAGTGTTTGTTGACGATATAAATCACATCTTGAAAAGTTATAAGCGTTACTTTTACTGCTGCACTACAGTCCCTCTCCAACTTGAGTAAGTAGCATTTCATACAGCTCTCCATTTTTATCAATACCTCCGATTGTACTTTGTTTTGACAAAAAATCTTTTCTGATGTCCTTGGAAATTCCCAAACATTTCATGTTATTTATAAAAGCCCCCAATTGTCCAAATGTTATGTTAGCGATCGCTTCATCCATGCTATTTCGTTCCTCAGTATCGAGTTTACTCCAGTTTCTAATCGTACAACGGCGTTCTTTTTCTGAACTTACCGATACCAAGAAAGCTTCTTCCCAGAACCTGGTTGATCGCCATATTGGTTGATTCGTTAAGTACTCGTACAGGTATTTCTCTTTGCGCGATGTTTCCACTTCGAAGTCAGTTGAGTGATGGTTAGGTTTAGTCATCCGCATTCTATCCATACTTTGTTTCATCTCAACTACGATGTCAAATTCTTTGAAAGCTCCTTTGCATGTAATCAAAGCGTCTTTCAATTTGTTGTGTTTCTTCTGTTTTCTCTTATTCATCTTCTGCTGAGTATCTTGTTTCTTTTTATCAGTTTCATTACCTAACTTATGGAGAAATTGTTCCAATGCAATTTGTGAGGGATTGGGTATATAATAATAAGTAAATGCCATGTTCATTAATATTCTTCCTGGTTTAAAGTTGTCTCCGTCGGCGCATTCAAACAGAACCAGTGCAAAACTGTGTAACAAATTGTAAAAAGTGATTTCGTTCACACATTTTGTGGTGCTTCGATAAGCGTCAACGTACTTTGCAAAAATTAATCTCGAATCTGCGTTTTTCATACGTGTTCCAAAATCGTTATGTGTTTCGTGTGTTATCGAGAAAGGATTTTCAAAAATATCATAAACATACTCGCGGATGAATTCTTCGTTTTCAGATAAAACGCCATCCACATTCAAACCAACTTCACCAACATCCGAATTCATCGTTTAAGCTGGTATACTTATTATATATATAAGAATTTCATTCTTTCTGCAACGAAAATAAAACAAAAGTAAGAAAAAAAATCTAAACTATTTGGCACCACTTCAACATTATCTTCAACATGTAGTACACTGGGATATAAATGAGGCGCTCGAAATTGGACCATAAATCAATCATTCCTTCACTATGTGTTTACAATTTTGTACATAACACCAGCAACGTTCGTTATCTCTCTGTCATAACGATTTGTTAAGAAATCGATGGCTTTCTGAAGAATAAATATACATAACAAATCCGCGGATATATATTTGATTATTCAATCATGCTCGATCTATGATGCGGCACTGCCCCTCCCCTCAAGTAGTCATCTCGTGATATAGCTAGATATAGAGTTCAACGCTGTTATATGATCTGAATCCAAGTTCTGGCAAAAACACAAAGCTTCCTGGTTTCGATATTACTTATCTGAGCTGAATTGAAAGCGAATTTTACGGCTAACATACAATGGTATTGAATTCTTCACTTATGCCGACATTTCACATGACGCATTTGTGTCATTCTATAGAAATATTGTATTCAACGACTCAAAAATTCTGTACCGTGCAATTCTTCGACTCTTTCAATGGTTATATATCAATAATATTCAAAGTACTGAAAAACATTTTAGCTAAATATAAGTCCAGTTCAATTTTTCATAAATGTTTTGATTAATCCAGACTTTTGAATGTAATCCAGCAACCGAATTACTCTTTTAAAAATAGCCGTTGTTAATTACTACATTTAGCAGTATCTACGACTTGTTAAATTAACCTTATAGGAATCAAAAATAGAGATTGGTAGAATACTGAAAGACGTGTATTAGATTAAATTTAATTTAAATACTCCAAAAAGCTGATTAGATTTCTGAATTTTATTACAGCGTCTATCCCGTAGTTGGACTTTTATACTTGGCCGTTGACGGTGCTATGATACCAGATCAATATTATTATTCTGGTTACTGTATCGTTTCCGTTTTTATAATTCCTAGTCTATCAAAGTCTACGTGATTTGTACTCAACAATCTTTTGGTTATATCAGACCATGCAAAATTCCGTTTTTTGGGAAAAATTTCATACGATAAAACTAAATTTAGGCAACGACGTAAAATATTTCCACAGACAACCGTGTTGCGACATCTTATCAGTCGTATTAATTGATAGATTCGACTGAAACTGCCTAAAATATAACTTTAAAATTTCAATATTGAGTGGTTTAATGGCCTTGCATCACACTTCCACAATGATCATTGTTGTCTGCGTATGAGTACATACATGCCTGTCTCAGGAAGTCTGACTTTGGTCAGACGAAACGTTACAGAATAAAATGGAAAGAGAAAGGCAAGACCTCGAACGATTAGGAAATTTAAAACAGTATTATGGCACACGCTACTTCAATTACCCACGTATCAAAGTTTTTAGTTGGAAAAACCGCTATCGCATGCGAAAATTTAGAAAATACAACTCATTAATTCAACATCTACCTCGACATACTAGATTTACTCCGATCTTCGCAATAATGCAAATACGGCAATCACTCGATGTAATCTGTACTTAACATACCATTGACCCGTCAGGTGTCTTACCAGCTGCCTAGTTTACAGCCCAAACCAACAAAATATGAAATTATACCTGGAATCTGACTGACGTAAATGCATAATAAGCTACAGGACGCAACATCGTTTACGACATCCGATTATAAATCACACTTTGAAGACGACAAATGAAATCACTTTTAGAGAATACATGGTGTATGTTATACATTCCGTGTCGTACATTATGGAGATAGTCGCTTAGTGACGAGTGCATGAGATGAGCAATAATAATATTTTCATAACATAGTCAGAATCTATTGCCCTTATGACGCTGTATATCAGAGGTTATTTAAGAATGAAACTGAGTCAAAGCATGAAACGTATACGATGGTTTCTGGCAATGGATAATTTGCGCATTCACAGTAAGATAAATAATATCAATAGGGGACATTTGGGGTTCAGTTTGTTGCGACATTGAGAAAACAATATATTTTAGAATAAAATTCAAACACCGTTGAGCACATATACACAGCTTAATCTTGGGCTAACTCAAAATTAGTTACATTTCTTGAAGTACGGTATGTATACTTTGAAGATTTATTGATTGAGCTTTGCGTTCCATAATTCACTGTCTTGTTTTTAGGCGTGATCACATGACTCAAATTGCTTTTGTTATATTTCCGCATATCTAGATCACGCAGAATGAAAACTGTGGCATAATGAGATTAGTCATATACTCATAAAATATTTTTGACCATATACGGTTTTTAAACAAATTTTTCAGTGCAGATACATTTTCAACTTAATTCTGATTTTTTACACCAAATAAATTTTATAGTTACGAACCCAGGTCATTAGTCCTTTCTAACATGCGTATATTGCGTTATACAGTTATCAGATGTTAAAACAAATGTTCACAACGTTCTGTCACTATAGTACTTACTAACACAGTTATATCGGTTTGTATCTGATACTCTAAATTTTGATTATATGGCAACCCAAACCTCACCTACGAGATATTTTGAGCACTTGAAGCGTTTACAAAAATCGACATAACATATCAGTATCATACCTTTAAATATGAATGGGATAACTTACGCAACCTCCTTATAGAATTTACACGTCTAAACTTGCGGTTCTAATTGGCTTTTAGCAACTTAACCCTTCTCGTACAGGAAATATAAAAAGTATTGCGTTTTTACATTCATTTGCGTTACTGAGCAGCTGTAGCCGTCAGACAGTATACAACTAAACGTCAAACATTTCAAGATCAATTCGGTATTTATTACGTTCTTTATACAGTTGAAACGTGCAACAAGAACGTGCGAAATATTTACCCATATTATTTCAAAATCATTGAGCATAGTTTCATAAAAGCGATGTGATTTCCTATAACACATAAATATAATTATTCGCGAAATACTTGTATTTCAGCTGAATATTTACATTGGTGGAGCAGGGTGGATTGGTCTTCGCGCTATACACGAGTCATACAAAATACTTCTTTAAGTAAACTTTGGGAAAATAAATAAAGTGATATTTTAAATTACTGTATATCAAAAATAGACCCAAAGACTAATCGACGCTATGTTAATTAGAAAGATATTTATATTAAAGCTACCAAATTTACTGGCACAAATGAGGAATTCTATCGTCACTCTGAATACCTGGACAAGTTTGTCGTTTTAAAACGAAAATGAATATTTTTATTAATATTCAAAGGTCAATTATACATTCAAATATATGCAGATATATATATCTTCAGAATATCGGACGTCACATAATTTAATTTAATTTTAATTTTACGGTCCGATTGAGGAGACTGCTTACTTATATCAAAAGTCAAATATACGTTGACTATAAAGAATAGTGAAAAAATGCAGATATATTCAACTAACCATGGGCAAGTGAAAGAACCCACTATACAGATCATACAGATTGTGTTCATCCTTGCTCAATGGCTGATCTCTGGGAATTTGTATCGTTTGATTTGAAATGAAAAGGAGGAAGTAATAAGCTATACCGTGTGAAAGGAATGCTGAAAAAGATATTTTAAACGTACGAGGCAAAGACGAAAAACAGTTATTCAGTCGGCGATTCTTTTCCTGCGAACATGGCGCAAGAAATAATAGGAGATTAAATTTATTTGATCGTTTATACTATTATGAATAATGATTTACTATTCTAAAAATCCGAATCTTTTTTAATCCAAGAGAGTTTGTGAAACTCTGTTATAATCGACCTCAACCAAAATGTTTTGACTATAGCGGTTAGTCGTTATATCGAGGTATAGCCCACCCTGTAAAATTTTGAGAAATTCGGTTGTCATCAAAATTAGTAAGCATTGGAGTGGCGAACGGAGTAGAAATGTAGCAATATTTGAAGAGTCTGAAAAGAAGATTTAAAGCGAAAGTTGGGTATATTTTATGCTAGACAATTATGCGATGGTATATCGTTTGCCTGTATATATAGTGTATTGAACGAAGGCTCTGTGAAATTTTTACTCCAGGAAATCGACATTCCTATCTTGTGGTAATCCTGAATAGAGTAACGAAGAGACCCTACAAAAATAAACATCATTCCTTCAGTTGGCGCTAAAGATCAGCATACATATAATCTCAACTATAGATATATTGTATTAGGTGCAGTTTTGTACTTGGCATCCTATATGATAGGTAGCTCATTTTATGAGAACGGCATTTTATTGTTAGCAAGACATGAAAAGTTAGTAGAATTAATTTCCAGGCAGAAATTTCAAGCATGTAATGTATTCATGAGCATTGGTGGGATTCGAGGGGTTCTCGGAATTCCGTGATGATTAGCGAAACCGTTCTTGTTTTCAGACGTTAGAAGACCGCAGTTGACATTCAATTATATATGGCGCTTCGAAAGCTATGTATTAGATTTATGTAAATCGTGTCATGTTCATGTACCTTGCATAGTGACACAGGCACATTTTCTGAAATGAGAGAACCCGTTGTTAGCGACGTCGATACAAAAGAAAACCTGTTATTGGAATTCTGAATCTCATCACTGTTTGTGTGTGAATAATAGTAATCCGATTTTTTAACGGTTGCTTTAATTAATCAGAAATGTTTTTATTCATGAACAACTGTTTGTATAAACCAAGGGTGGCCAATACGTCGATCGCGTCTGAAGTTGAGTGAATTTGATAACATACCCCAAAATATTTCTATTAACCAATTGTGTGGTTTAAAACAGGAAGAATATAATACTGCAAATGCGCAAAATACGATATATATATATATATATAGTATTTGAGTCTGGGCAAGCCCTATATAGCATATTATTACGTAACAAATGCAAGTTTTGCCGCTGCCAAGGTTTAAAAATGAAGTGCCGAATGGTTTAAAAATACAGAGTTATTTTTCGCTGTTTAGACAATACATGAATACTTGGCAAGATTTCTTG